TGGTACGGCGATTGAATAATTGATTAGAGTTAAAAAAAGCTCACGAGCGAGCTTTTATGTGTGAAATTAGTGAAAACGAGTCAAGTAAGATTGATGAAACTGAAGAAATAACGCTAACAGTACATACGCTATAAATGTACATATATATAATGTATATATACTGGTAGCATCATGGTTTGCACGCATACTAAATTTTCAGCGTGAAAGGAATACACACATACATACCTATATACATATATACAGACATACAAATTTTGGCATTTTTAATAATATATAGTCCCATTACCTTTATCATAATGTAGCCAAAACTAAGCTAAGTTTTTATTTGTTATCAGCTAGCAGTATTTTAAGCTATGGTAAGAAGAAGGAAATTAAAAAAAAACCATAGTTGCATCTCTGTGTATGACATTAAAAAACAAAAGTTATGTTTTTATTTTACACTAGTATTGCCCGCGGCTCCGCCCGCGTTCATGTTTTTTAAGCAATTTTTTACAATGCAGTTTTTGCATTTTTTCTCAAAAATGAGATATTTTCCCGTGGTAAAAAGTATCCTATATATTGACCCGGATAACCAGCTATCACCGTACCAAATTTCATCAAAATCCCTCTAGTGGTTTTTCTGTGATGCGGTAACAGACAGACAGATAGACACACAAAAATTCTAAAAACTTTAGTTTCAGCCTCTGTATCGATAATAATGTCTATTTCAATAAGATTTTCCAAAAATTATTAAATGTACAGATTCGGCTTAGTCACAATTTAATTATATGTTTAGATTATAAATGCCTTTGTGCTGATGGAAATTGACAAAATAGACTACATACGTAATTATGACTTATACTAAAGTACTCGTATAACACTTACTGACTTAACTACTCACTTATACATAGATACTTGTTCTACTATACCAACCATTTGGTACGAATTTTATTCAGGAAATGAAACGTAGCTTGGATTTATGGCTTTGCGAACCCCGCTACTGTTGCCCACTTATCATTTACGCCCATCAACTGTTTTACATTTACCGTGAGATTTTAATGTAGTTTTTCATTACACTTGGTATTTAATATAATTTAAATTATTATATGAAATTTATAGTAAAATAGTTAAATATGATGGCGAAATGTTTTTAGCTTTCAATTCTCTTGTAGAATTACGTTAATATATTTTTAATTTATTATTAAACAGTTAATCAAAATGATCTAATATAAAATTTTGTTATATTTAATCTTCTAATTTAAAAATCTATTATGTCTGCTTTATTTTAACACTACCGGCTTACTTTCGTTTCGCTCGGGTACATTTTTCTTGAGCGGAGCCCTAATCCATTTTCTAAAATAGAAGTAGCCTAAATTATCGTTATAACATCACCTACTTGCCAATCATAATCCCATCAAAATCGGTCCAGCCGTTTAAGAGATTATCAAACAAACAGACGAAAAAATTTAATTTCTTTTCTTATAAGTACCGTATATAATTTCGTATGCATTTAGTAAAAAGCTGTTATTTTGACATTACAAACGGACACTTTAATTTAATTTATTTGTATAGATATATACTTTTATCGGAGATTAAGCTTAAGATTTTAAAATTGTATTTCCCTTAACAATTCTATCGCACTTTCGTATTATGGAGATTAATTTATAGTAACAAATAGAAAACGGACGTTACGTTCTAATATTGCTCTCAGTAACATGTGTTACAGCATTAAATTTCATACTTACTTACAGTAAAGTACAGGAGACGATTATAAATCTTTATCTTGAAGGCTTACCAGTGACACGTTTAACGCACAATCCGGCTGGAATCGTTAATAGCTACATGGATACCACTTGAGAGTGTATTTAAAGCGCTCAAAGAACAATTAAAACTGTCGGAATGGAAATTTAGAGGCGTTTGTATTATACACGGTTCTTCGCAATTACGTTTGAGTAAGACTCTTTTATGTATATTTAGATTAACGCATGGTGTAATGGTTGTGGGGTTGAGGATTGGCTGCGTAATGTGTAGGTTCGATTTACATGTTTTTTTTTTTAATTTTAATGTGTTATTTGATATATGAAATAAGTCATGTAGATGATTTTGAGAGATTTTTTACCGTTCAATATATTATAATGTAAACATTAATTTTTTTTATGTCCATTCATAAAAAATCAGTAAGAATGCGTCGAAATATAATTTTCTTATTGAAATTATACTTTTTTTGGCACGTTTGGAATAAAATTATGAGGGTTTTACAATGCGCGCGCACACCGACAGCCAAAATGCGACATGATGAAGTTAGCTGCATTCCTTTTACAAACAGAGAGTTGTGACATACGGGATGAAATCTATAGCTATTTTTGTTCTGTTACACCAAACAAGTATAACTTCTTAAGTGCGTATACATGTACACACAGGTTTGTTTGCACATATTTATTATTAATTTTGACATATCATTTAGGAGAATATCTTTTTATCTATTCTAATCACTTATCAATGATAACTTATTAGTAAGTAAAACAGTCTAAGTCAGTTACCATATCGTGTTATGCGAAATCACATATTAAACGTTAGGACGTATCTATCGGATGTTCGGAATCGTTACGCGTACATACGAGTAACATCAGAGTCATTTATCTTAATAATATATATAAATTTATCTAATATTAAACTAGCGACTCAACGCCGCTTCGCTTGGATTAGTCCCTAGTGAAAAACAAAAACAAATCTATCCCACGGAAATCGTACATTTTTCCGGGATAAAAGTAAGCTATGTATGTATTATTCCAGACTATAATCTGTCTTTGTGCCAAATTTCATCCAGATCTGTTCAGCCGTTCTGGTGTGATTGACTAACAAACACCCATCTAAACTTTCATATTTATAATATTAATAATAAGATTAATAGGATGAGCGATACTTGTGTATATGCTATAATACATAAAAATATAAATTTATTTCTTGTATCATGAAAATGGAACTGGATCAAATATGTATATTTAGATAACACTTTGCGTTTTTAAGTTTATTTACATAGGTATCTTTTTTATGCCTAACAAAGCGCGATCGCCAAGGTACCATCGCCTGCTGTGCATCTTTTTTTTTTGTTTATTTTTCTTCGTATTTTAGTTTTCGGTGTGCAATAAAGAGTATTATTATTATTATTACCTTAGTAATATCATACTTTTAAATATTTACTTCAGTTCATTTGTCAGTGTTGTGGTTTTCACAAAATAATAAATATATAATATTGTAAATAGGAAAGGCTTATAAGAATGCACGCGAGCGAAGCAAGGGTGATTCGCTAGTAAATAACAAAAATTAAGTAATTTTGTACAATAATTTTATACAATAACACTTTATAATACGAGATATGTTTTTTCTATTATTATTACCAAAAATTTTTATATTATTATTACCAAAATAGTTTCGAAAGCAATTTGCGGAATCATTCATATACATTAAATTACGCTTCACATAAATCTGAGAAACGGCCTACTCCGACATTCATTTAATATGCACGGAAGATTTATTACTATTTTAGATTGAATTTAATCGAGGTCTGCTGTAATGGAATTTGTAAAATAAAGAGTCATTACACTTTAAGAATATAAGTTACTAACAGCTTGTAAAGTACATATCTATAAATAAACATGGTGAGCTTATACAATAATATGTACGATACAGGATTTGAAATTTCATGTATTATAAACTTTAGAATGTATTCAATCCTTTTTTATTCCCACTGATAGGCACGGCCTCCTTTCGAGAACCCTCTCTTATTGAGAGGCCGTGCCCACTTCCCAGCAGTGGGACTGAAAAAAGGGTGAATATCGGGGCATAGTCTACCACATTAGCTAAGTATTAAAAAAAAATCTTACTTCTTGATCGTCTTTACAATTTTATATTCGGGTCTTCCCAGTAAGTAAACCGAGGAAACTTGTGTTGGGAATGGCTCGCTTCTTCCCATATACATACTCTATGATTATGTGGGTGAAACTTTTTTTTTTTAAACTATATAATACTAATATACGATAGTTACAAGATTAAAGTGATTTAATGCAAAAAAAAAAATATAAAATTACAATATTAACAACTGAAGGTTGTTATTGCCTGTAGAATTTAACTAGTTTTATTTTATAATGTTAGGAAATTACTATTGGTTGGTGTACTTTACTTTTTTCTTATATTATATAGCATATTTATTAATAAATTGACCTAAGAATATTGATAATTACATATCAACAGCGAGTGGATCCACGGGAGAAATTTAGTATGTTATATTTTGAGCTACAGTAAATAAAAACTAACAATCTTTTTCCTCTAGCATTTTTAAATAATCTAAAACCCAAACTAAATAAGATATGTCATTCAACTGCTTTATAAATGTAAATATTGCAGAGTCCTCAGCTAAAGAGGTTCCGCCGTGGTGCGAAGACGAATGCAGCGAAACGATAAAAGTAGGTTAACTGAAAATAACCAGCGGAAACACTCGAATTATGAGTTTTGATGAAATGCAACACCACGCCTAGTTGGCACCGGATATATGAATTTTAAAGTAATAATATTTAATGATTTTATTGCTATTGATGTTTATAAGAGGCGCTCGCGATATTTTGTGGTAAAATTGTTCAAAGAATTCATCGGAAGTAGTTTAGTAATTAATAAATGTTATTTAAATTAAAGGTTTATCTAGTCTAGATGATTCATATTATATTGCTTTCTTTTGAAACATTATATATATATATATATATATATATATATATATATATATATGTATGTATCCTTCCTAACGTATTCTCTCAAAGTAACTACTTGCATGAAACTAATAATACTCTATTTTTGTATCAAGAAATAAGTGTAGTCTCGATGAATAATCATGTCAATTTATTATCGCAGAAGCGAAACTATTAAACAAATAAACACACATTCATATCTATAATATCGCTAACGGTAAGCAAAATAAAAATATTTAAAATTTAGCGTACCTTAAATTTAAAAAATAAATATTAACTTACATGCCAATTCAACGATTGCTGGCTGACTTCGAATATCACCACGGCTACTCCACGCGTGACAAGTGCACGAAAATCTATCTTCCCCAAAATATTCTTCTAAATGATCCCTCGTTACGTTGCACTCAGCTTCAACTATTCTAACACCACTTTGTGGATCAACAAATTCGAACTGCGTGCTGCCAACCGACCTTATATCATTACATTTGAAGTAAACTTGCAAAGCATTAGCCGCACGACATCTTAGCATTGCTGGCTTGTTACGAACTACATAAGCGTGTTGGGGTTCAAGTAAGAACATGGGTAGATCATCAGTAGAGCTTTGTAGAAGATGATCTCCTGATAAAGAAGGCAGTTCATCTGTATCCTCTCTATTCTCATGTTCATCTTCTTTATGATTTTCGTGATCATAGTCTTCTTCTAGATAGTCTCGATGATGGGTTTGTTGGTTTGTTTTCTCAGAATTGTAAGGGTCCAAGGCTTCTACTCCAGCTGGATGTGCGTATTCTGGTCGCAATGGTATTGGTGGGGTTGGTGGTGTAGTACTGTGTTCCGGTTCTGTTGAGCTTGGCTCGTCTGTAACAAAGATAATAGTAATTCAAAGTTTGCTGAGTAGAGACTAGATAATCATCCTTATTATGATTTTTTTACTGTATTTTTTTGTAGATCTTCTCGTGATTTGTTTTTCGAATTTTTTAAGATTTCCAATTTATATAGATTACTTTAATGCCAGGTGATTGCTATCGATATTAGTATTTACGACACGAAGAATAATTATTATCGATAAATAAAAGACGATAGTTGTACACAAACGTTTTAATAGGAAATTCACTTAAATGCTACACTAGCATTGGCTATAATTTATTTTTTCCAAAATTAACTTAGTATTACGATGTTTTTACTGAAACGTGTAAAATGCACAAATCGATCTACTTTTAATTAACACAATCTCCTACTTTTAACCATATTATAATTGGAGAATGTATTAATATAGTGAATGACAGTTGAAATAAACGGCAACTGTAATAATAACGCGTCCCCCGAGTACTGGCATCGATTTCCCTTTAAGTCCACACCTGGTTTGACGCTTCACGCCTGTTTACACGCAAAACATAGCTGATATTTGGATACTGTTTACTGTACCAAATCCTATAAATTTACCAAAATAGATCTTAAAATTTAGGGTCGTAAAGATCAAAATTGTGTGCATAATTAAGCACCCTCGTCAAATTTCGCTAGATCGTTATCAGACTGCTACTCTTACAACGTCGTTGACAGCAACAGTGGATTGTATTATTATTTGAAAGTTGAAATAGCTAAAATAAACCGCAAGAGTAAAGCGAGGATAACATAATTACTTTCACATCCGTTCAGTGTATTTCTATTTCCGTTTTCGAAGGGACCGAACGCTATTTCCTTCACAATTATATTTTTCTTTAATGATATTTGTTTTGAGTGCCTTTTTCTCATTCTGTGATATTCGTGTTATATTTGCCTACTCATATGAGTTTTAGCTAAAAACCCCGTAATAAAAAATAATTAAATTTTTTTTGTGTATTGAATTTTAGGGCAAAACAATCAAATAAAGTTTTTATTTAAATTAGGTTTTTTTATTGGTATCCGATTCTCATAAATAAGTATTTTTTGTATTGGTAGTATATCCGGTTCCGGTAAATAGGAAAAACAGCGTGAAATTTAGTCGAGGGTTAATAAAAATACATATAAATAATTGCCAATTATTTTTTATATTTATCAAGTCATCATTATTTCATTAAGATAAAAATCTATTTAAAGCTATACATTTTTCTTCAGAAGTGGTAACAAAATTGCTTGCTAGAAATATGCAAATATTGATTTGAAGTCACCAGAAATAAACTCAAGCCGCTACGGCCTTCTACGTTATTGATGCGCATTTCAGGAAACGATGGAAACTGAAATGACACGATTTACGATTGTTATTTTATTTAAGGAATTATTCTGAATAATATGATTTATTTAACTGTTTCTGAATCATTGTACAAAACATGTAATTCTGAACATATACATACAAACATACATACATACTTTTTTAAAACATACTTTTAAATTAATAGACACATAAACATATACATAGATGTTTCATTAATTATATATTGTATACTAGCGACTCACCCTCGCTCCGTTCGGGTTTGCCCCCTAGTTACGTTTAAACGTTTAGCTCAGAGATGAGATATTTTTCCGCAGTAAAAAGTATTCTATATATTGATCCGGATAAAAAGCTATCATCACATCAAATTTCATCAAAATTTGTCTAGTGATTTTGATGCGGTCACAGACAGACAGGCATAAATTCTAAAAACTATAGATTCGGCCTCTGTATCGATGATAATGTCTATTTCAATAAGATTTTCCCAAAAATATTTAATGTACAAATTCAGCTTGGTTAGAATTTTATTAAATGTATAGAGATTTGTATTTATTATAGAGTGAGATCAATTTAAATAACATTAATTCAACATTTAAAAGGGCTATAGTAAAGTTGGCTTTACTTGCTCCACAATTTCAACCGGTAACGAACTCTTCCCGGCTTATAGACTCTCTTAAAATTATAACTTGACTAGCAGAACCCGCGGATTTGCTCGCGCTAAAACTATTTTACCCTCTTATGGTATGAATTTCGAAAAAGGAAGAGACATGTATTTATTCAATTTTGTATTGAAGAGCAGAAAATTATAATTATTTATAACATATTCATTTAATACCAAGTTTTAAGTGATTCTAGCCATAAATAACTTTTTGGGTTGTATTATAATGTGTTTTCGCGTGGGAATGAGATAATCTGCCGCGGTAAAAATAGCCTATGACACTCTCCAGCCCTCCCAACTATCTCCACACAATCATATTAATCCATCAATTTGTTTCGTTGTGAAAGAAGGACAAACAAACAAACAAACAAAAATTTCACTTTTATAATATTGGTATGGATATGGATTGACCAATCAAAGGTGCTTATATACATTGTATATTGTATATTCAAGATATTAAAGTATACCTTGAGTTTTAATTAACACTGCAAGAAATCGTAAACTTTTGATTAAATAAAACTTAATCTATGCATCGAAATTAATTAATTTTACGACTATAATTAATATCAGGTTTATTTCTTCGTATGAATCGGTCTTTACAATGATTTCTAAACTTAATTAACATACAGTTCGATACAATTATAACGTGTGAAGTTCTTTCGTAATTTGGGTCGATCATTTATAGTGTTATCAAGGCTGTTGATGCAACTGTCTATGTTTTTATTTAAATGCCATCAAATAAACAGCTTTTCGTTATAGAGCGGTCAGAAAAATAATTGGTTTTTAATTAAAAATTTTGATATCACTTTGATAATTGGTATCAAATGTGATTAATTCTCCTTTAAAAATGAAGATTTTTCGTAATATTTATATGTGACAACACTTCTAAGTTTACTTACCTATTAAATTCATATTACGTCATACTTTATATCAAGTCATCAAAGTTTATATAGGACGAACATATTGCATAAAGAACAAAAAATATATTTTTTCTTTTTTTTAAGTTGGTCAAAAATACTTTTTTCTCACATAATTTATGTATGTAAGAGATTATTAGATAATATTTGATTAATTGGAACATAATATAACTTAGTAGTTGTGTAAATATGATCACTAACGGGCTTTAAAAGGTTAAATAGAAAAACTGCTACCATACCGTGAAGCAGCCCAAAACAACCATGTGTAAGGCCAAAACAGATATTTTTGTACCAGAATCAAACTAAACACTTTTATACAAGCTTACATTTTGTTAGAAAATATTTCAACCCATTACCGACTGGATTATGACAAGAAAATTGATAATAAATTTATATATACAATATATTTGAAAGCTTCCAGCTGTGATTTTAAAGTCAAATTTGAGAATTTTTGTTACAATATTAATATAGTGAATCGTGTGTGGTCCACATTTTATTAGGTGAGTAACAAATCAGCTTTTTATATTTATCATGGAAATATTATTAACCAATAAAGGTAATAAAATGGATCCCAATATTTTAGTTTTATTAGCCTACAACGTTTTCCTGCAACTCTACTCATGTAGAAAGGTGTTTTAACAAAAAATATTAGTGTGGATAAGTATTACATATTCTATACAACAATCTATACTTTGAAGTGAATAAGTAAGGGAATTGTATTTAATATCGCAAAAAAATATCTATATTATAACGTTAGTTCATACCAGCCATTTTGCTTTCGGTTAAGCTTTTTATAAGAAAAATTGCATCAATTTTCTTTCTCTTTAATATGTGAAATTGGGATAAACTAACGCTTTGTATAATCGAATTTTTACAAAGTGAATGCAAAATTTTGACTTAGAAAATATATACATATATATATGTATATATGCATAATTACCAAAGTAAAAAACAGAAAATAGTATATTTTGGTTTATTTTTTATTAGTATTGATAGACAATATATTAGCCCACTACTGGGATTGAATTTGTGAATTGTGATGTAGAACGCATTGCTAATGAAACATGTTTTAGATTACTTAAATAATTCATCATTTAAATAATTCATCTTTAAAAACTGTTAGAAAAAATATAGATTTTTCAATGTATTTCAATAAATAATATTTCGATATATTTAAAAAAAATGTATAATATAAATATTTGAAAAACCCCATTTGAAGTCGATAAGATCACTCGACATGACTACCAAATTTAATAGATGTAGCGTTTGTTATGGGGACCGTTCCATCATTTTAATGCACAGCATTCACTTACTGTTAAAGATGAAAGATTATTGAGCACGAGATGCACAGAATTGATCATAGAAAAAAATTAAATAAATAACAAAATATGTGCATGGCTGTGGTGAATTATTTTCCAGAAAACTAAAAACTGGAACTAAATTTGGATCTAAATATCTAAATTATATATTATAACCTCCATAGTGATTTTAGAAATAAATTTATTTTTTAGGATTTTTTCGTGTATTTATTTTGGTTTTTTGGTCCCCGACGTTTCGAATGCTTTACAGCAATCATGGTCACGGGAAAGACTGAGGTTTTAGTTGTCTCAAGGGTATACAGCTAATACAGACAGTGCCTATCCAGAATTTACAAAACGATTTCTAAATAAAATACAAAATAGCACCAAAGTACTTTAAAATATTTGTTAATTTTAAACATTTTTATAATGGATCCATATAGATTTTAAAAACGCTTAGAACATCCCAAATAAAATTAAAAAACAATCAACATCTCATTTAAAACTAATTTATAATCAAAAATGAGAATAAAACTTCAAGCCCGACTGACATTTCTTTCACAATGTTTATTTAGTTTTAAAATTCTTTAAAATAAAAAAGAATGAATGCAAATGGAGAAATTCCTTATCACTAAGACACGAAGTGGAATATGTTAGGTCTGATGAACGGTGGCATTCTTGTGACTACTAACGAGATCTAAAAACAAAATAACCTTACCATTGTTAGTATAACTCGCTAGCGAGTGCGTTCCTTTGTAATTTTTTATGTGAAGTTTATTGTAGAGCAATCATTATAA